TTGCTTACTGACCTCTTTACCTCTGTCCACATATAGTCTATGTGGCTGACATCATGGGATGAACACAGCAAAATATTGATTTTGTTGTCTACGTCATTTTGTAAGTCGATGGTATGCTTAGGATTGCTTTCCATTTGGACCAATTTGAGCCCAAGCTTTAATTTTCTTGAGATGTTGCTTTTTAAACCCAATTTTCTTTCCTTGTGAAAACAAGTGTGCTTTCAGTAAAAAGAATAAACACAACACGATTCTGCTCCCTCTTTTTTAAAATTGTGACAAAGATCATCATGGCTTAAAAAATCAATTTGCTTTCAATCAGACCACTGGGTATGTGGGAATTTGCAAGCTATCATCTGGAAAATTGCTTCTTCCTGGGCTAGTAGCCTTTCAACATTGACAATGACATTTTCTTATCATCTTCAGAATGCAGGATTAAAGCAGACGATTAAAGTTTATTATAATTAAATTATACTTAACATTTTTTCCAGTTCATGGTGTCATAAACATACCTCAGAGCCAAATTTAGCATAAATATTATTATCATCACTTCATTATTTTGTGTAAGTAATCTAATTTATCACTATGTTCATTACATATTTTCTGCTAAATTTAAATAATTTATAAATAAAGTCATTTTCCAATTCTATAGTTAAATGCTACAATTTAAACTGTACAACATACATAACTGTATGTTATGTATCTACCTCTCAGGTTGGAATCCTGATTGAAAAAGGATAATGAATTAAAGATATGCTCTTATAAAAGAACCATCTGCTTTCTTAAAAGAAAACATTTACAGTTTCAAAATAATCTCTATTGACAGAGATTAATATATGTTTAGCCTCAGGCAACATTTTCAAACTGATAGAAATAAATTCACTATTGGCACCAAAGGTTTAAAGTTCATTATTCTGTTGTTTGAGATGACCTTCTCTCTTCACCGGCCAAACGTCCTGCTCCAATCCCTGCCGGCACCTGAATGGGTGGGACAGGCTTCGTGCATGTAGCACTAGGTCATGCAGTGGGCTCCAGCCAGGCCAGCAGTCATCTAAGGGCTCAGCCGCCTCCAGCAACACTCTGTCATCACGATCTCACAGAGCTTACTGCAAACCATATGCCTCTGCAGCTCTGCGGCACGTAGTAACGCAGCAGCAGTTTATGTGTTGGCATTCCTGATATGCAGTCATAAGTAGCTGCTGAATTTTCTCAGTCTGAAGGCACTCTGTTTGAGTATGGATCTGGGTTTGTTTCATTTACTGAAGCTAACTGTTTAACATCAAGTTTTTCAATCACTTCTTTTAGCTGTATCTGGCTTATCGCCCACCCTGTATGCCACAATAATGAAGAAATTCATGCAAAATGAGGTACAAACTGTCGAGTGCATATTCTGTATAATATATGGACACACCTTCCAATAGGATCACATTTCTGTTATGTTAAATTTTCCTTAACTAAAATTTGTAGTTACTATTGTCAAGTGTAGTTATTATTGTCTGTGTGTAATGTATGCAACTTTTACTGATTTAATTGAATTACTGAATGCTAGATAAGGCAAGTTTATTTATAAAGCACAATTCAATGCAAAGATTATTCAGAGCGCTTTACATGAATTAAACAATAAAATAGAAGAAAACATGTTAAATTAAATAAATTATACCTCAGTTAACAGTTTAACCTTCATAGTCAAAGGCAGCTTTAAACAATGTTTTTTTTTTACTTTGACTTAAAATATTAAAGAAATACAGATTCCAATTTCAGTTTTGCAGACATGATGTGAGAAATAATATATTTTAAATAAGTTAACATAGAAGGGAATTCCTTTCACACTGTGATATTAGCTTAGTATATAAAGAGTATTAAAAGGGAACTGTAAGGGTGTCTTTAAGTTGGCTCATAGAAAGGTCACTGGGGTCATTACGAGTGCAGAGCCTAAATATCATCATGCCTGGACAGTTTCCTGGGCAACATCTTCGGATCAGTTTCAGTTCCGCTGGGTTTGTCGACTCCCGTGTTGTTCTCAGTCCTACATTCAGCTCCTGCGTTTTATCGCAGATTTCTGAATGTTTTGGGAAAAAAAATAGCTTATTTTGACCCGTCCTCTGTTGTTTTTTCCCAGCAGGGTGTCGGGCCCTCTTCTGTCTCCGGGTTTAAAGGCAACTGGGACTCCTCCTCCTCTGTCACAGGAGAAACAACATGGTCACCCTCACCACAAGCCTTACCCACATTACCACCATCATCAGGCTGCCTCTGATGGTAAAGTTAACCCAAAGATTACAAACTTTTTACAGATATTGACTGTGCTATAATGCTACCTATGGTATATTAGACTTCGATGGTCAGGTACTTTAAAATTCTGAACTCCTAATTGTTTACAAATGCAAATAGCAGCAGATTCACATCAAAGACCCGCAGTAAGAGGAAGTTGTCTCCTAGATGGCTGGTGTTGCCCTGCGGCTCTGTCAAAGTGCTGCTAGGGTGAAAAAAAGAGATCAGAGTTTGGAACCACATGCCGGAAGCCTATTACCATTGCTGGATTGGCCAACAAAATGCTGGCTCATGCATTTAGCCGTCTCAGCTGTCACTCAGAAGCTTTTTCCCCAAATGTCCTGAACACTGTTTTCCCTGTAAAGATCTCCACTCGGCCGCCTCTCTAACCACCCTGTGGTTTGGGAGTTGCGTAAAAGTGCTGCAGGAGAGGCTTCTTTCCCATTATCAAGACTCTTGCGGTTGTTCCTGAGTAGAGGCTGAGGCTACGGGGACAAATGTAGCACAGTATGAGGCTGGCAGAGTTTGCCCAGGCACAAATATAGCGTTGTAATGATGTGAGAAGCTTTAGAAGCTTGAGACGGACGGTGCTGGCATTAGAAACAATCAGCTGTAGAATGGATGCTGCGGCCGCTAAACAAGTCTGGTTTCCATCATTTCCTCCCTTCCTTTATCCTAGAATACCAAGCCAGCTTTCAGAGCTGCTTCCATTTTGGAGACTCCTATAGGGTGGAGCAACCAGTCAGCGGCGTCCACATCCCAGGAGATGCTCACACCTATTCCCCCCATCAACACAACGGCTTTCACATGTCAACCAGCAACACTGGACCTACAGGTAAATATTATCTTTTTGTTCTTCTAATCCTCATACAAGAATTACTGAAGTCCACTTAACATCTTCTGATATAAAATAATATTTGGACCAGGATTTAGCATTACCCAGGAGCTGCAGGGGGGTGCAGGGTGCCAGTATTCCTCCAGCCCAGACGACAGCATCTTCTTCCAGGTTGGCAGCTTTGACCGCAGCTTGAGCCACATGTCATCAGTCTACACGGAAACATAAGAGGCGAGCCGGAGCAGGGAAGGCTTCACTACTCCCACCAAACGCATCTCCACCTCCTGTTTTTATTTATGTGTTTTTCATATCAATACCTACTTTTCATCATTTTGACTTTTGCACCACACAAACCAGCTGAATAAAAAAGTTTCACCATTTCCCTTAAACATTTTTGCCCTCATTGTAAGGTATAATAAAAGCCTTTTGGGTTCTTTACAGGATACACTGCTTATAAAACCCTGCAATAGTATTCATACCCCTAAAACCTATCCCCATTTTCTCATGGTACAACATCAGACAGTGTTTTGTGTGGGTTTTATGTTTAAGACTGATACATAGTAATGCATAGCTAATAACATATGCGAGGCATGCTGTTGTCATCAACCTTTTATCCTGATACACATACTTAAAGTATATTTCTCCCATTTCCAAGAAGGTCCAGACCCAAACCTGTGGGAGAATTTAGTACAAAGATAACCTCTGGCCTAAAGGCTTTATTCTGTGGCAGTAAATTAACACTTTGCATAGCCTCAAGCACACCATCCCTATCATGAAGCATAGTGGTGGGGGCATTATGATGTGAAGATGCTCATCATCATGGCCAGGGAAGTTTGTTAAAGTTGATGGATCATGAAGGTAACAGAATCCTGTTAGAGGTGCAAAGAGATTCAAAACTGGGGCAGAGATTCACCTTACAGCAGGGCCACCCTAAACTGAGAACCATAAAAGTAACATAATGGTTTAGACCAAAGTTTTTTTATGTCTTACGATGGTCAAAGTTCTCAGCTAAATCTAATAGAGAAACGTTGGTAAATCCTGAATAGAAGTGGTTCACAGAACTTAACCTCAAACTTATAAAAAGAACATATTACACTAAGAGTTGTTGTAGAAAGTGCTCCAACGGTTAGTGATTTTAGGTTTACGCATTACAGAAGACTGTCACACTTTTCTGATTAGATTTTTGAAAACATGTCGAAAAGCATGCATCATATTTATTCCACCTAAAATGTGCTACTTTGTGTCGGTCTTTTACAAAAATGTTTTTTCTGTTTTTCTTCATAACTTAACAAATCTAAGAAAAGTAAGGGGTATTGATACTTCGCAGGGTACTTAAACTGTGATTTTTTTTTTCACTTAAATTATCAAAGCAAAATGATATAGTAGCTGCAAAGAAATCATTTGATTTAAACCATGAGTAAATGTTGTTTTAAAGGCATCTCTACCAGTATATTGTTACCCTGGAAAAAGCTTAACCATGCCTAAATAAATAAAATGTAAATATATATTTTTCATTCTCTATATTTTTTTTCAATCTGCAGCTGCATCAGTAAAAACCAGGAGAACCATTTGGTACGCAGAGATATTTTAATGTACATTAACAAAGCAAACAATAATTTTTCATCTGAAAAAATGTACCTGAGCAAATCATTTTACTGAATTCCACTAATCACAGCAGAATCCAACTTCATCTTCAGTCTTAATGTATGAACTTCAAGTATCACAAACGCCAAGATCTGTGCACCGTCCGAACAGCTTTTCTTTCTCTTCACTCTCTTCTTTTTTCTTTAATCTTTTCCATTTTTTTGTGGACTGAAGTGTAAAATATATTATTTTGCTGTGATGGTTTAATGAGTGGAGGAAAAAAGTTTATTTTCTTTTTGTGTGTTAAGTGTTTTTTTTTTTTTTTTTTGCTTTTGAATTTATTTCTGATAGAGGTTACTGGCTCAATAGTCCTCTGACACTGCAGAGACACCCAGCCTCTTATTATTATTGTTATTACTAATAATATTATTGTGTATAAAATGTACAGTTTGTTTACAGCAACCATTTGAGTGTCATTTAAGAAAATAAAAATCAAACAGTGAGGATTCAAACAGTTTATATCATTTTTTGGAGTCTGAGCAAAAACAAAAAACTCAGACTTGTGGGTGGTTTGTGCCCTCTAGTGGACAGAGGAAAATACTGCAGATCTCCACTGAGGATGCTTGGCCCCTCTTAGTTCAGCACTTTCAGCCTGAAGTTTGCTGATGGCTCATTTCTGCTTCTTCTTGAGGAGGTAGCTCTGGTAATAGAAGTTACTGAACAGGATGATGAGGGTAACGCAGTAACCAAACACGAAAATATTCATAGAGTCTGGGAAGTCGCACTCAGTGAAAAGGTTGTAGCCTGTGTGCAGGAGGAAGAGCAGGAACTGCACCTGAAGAAGCAAATGGGATTAGATTAAATTAGAGATACTGTGATTGTGCATCCAGCAACAACAATAATCAGAACAGTGTGGAGCAACCAACCAGCTGGAGAGAGGTGAGGTATCTCTTCCACCAAAGGTACTTCTGCATATGAGGGCCGATGGCAGCCAGGCAGTAATAAGAGTACATGATGATGTGAACAAAGGTATTTACAAGGCCAATGAAGAAAGCTGCAAAGAGTGTGTCAGAAATAAAAATGTGGAGGTAAGATTGGAAGCCAAAAAGAGTGGCCTTACATGAAATGAAACACTTATACCCACGTAATGCACAGTGATGCATGTTTAGGTTGAATTAAAATATGTTGAATTAAAAGTCCATTTTATTCAGCCCCACCTGAAATCACATTTTTTATTAATTTTGCACATCTGGAGACATATTTTTGCCCCATCCTTCTCTGCCAAATAGTTATTTCCCAAATTATTATATATAGATTTCTTTTTTTGCAGATTTTGCAATTGCTCGATGCACAATAGATTTAGATCTGGACTTTGAATGGGACACTGAAACACAGGAATATGATTTAATCTACACCATTCAATTGAAACTTAGTATTTTTTTTTTAAGGCACCTTTTTAGACACTCAAGGTCACCGTACAAAAAGCTTAAAAAAACACAATGTCAGAAACAAAATCAAAAAACATAAATAAAAAAAATACAGAGGCTGTGACAGTGAAATTAATATTTAAAGAGAATACGCAATCTTATATAGATGAGTTTTGAGTTGCATTTTAAAATGGAGAATTAAGTCCGTGTTTCTAAGTAGGGGTGGTAGAGAGTTCCAGAGGCGGGGGGCAGAGCGGCTGAAGTCTCTGCTCCCCATGGTGGTGAGACAGGCGGAAGGGACAGAGCAGATTTGGGTGTTATGCTTATTGCCCTACTCGTGAACCTCTGCTAAAGTATTTTTCAGCCTAAAAAAAGGATGAACAAATCAAAAGCACTCCCACTTCCTGATGCTGCCACGACCATGGCACAACGTTTTCAGGTATAACAGTAGGATTTCAGTCTAATCTGACTGTAGTACCATCTTCAGCATGTTTTATCCCAGCTTTCTTTTATGATAAATTGCAAACATGACTTCTAACCCCAACCCGCTCTAACATAAATACCAGATGTTTAAAGAGCACGATTAAAAGTTGTGATTTCCTGCACCAGGAATGTTGATCTCTGCAACTCCTTCAAAAACAGAACTGCTCACTTTACAACGGCGTCCTCGGAATTCAGACATTTTCTCAACTTTGTCTTGATCAATCAAATAAATCTTATGAAAATAAATGACAGCTTGACTTACACTGCCCTCCAGCCACATACTTGACTCCTGCCCACCAGTTGAAGATCATAGTGCCATGATGGTAAACATGAAGGAAGGTCAGCTGACTGTCCTTCTTCCTCAAGATGAAGAAGAACTGTTAAAGAGGAGAAAAGGAGGCTTTAGTGTTTACAGCATTGCACTTAAACACAGTTAAAAGATGACACGCTGAATAACGAGAGGAAATGATTTATACCGTGTCGCTGAGCTCTATGACCTTAGAGAAGAAAAACCACCAACAAACGCTTGCCATCTAAAGAAAAAAAACATGTTTCTGGTTGAATAATATCCCTGTCATCTTTAATCACTCTGCTGGATGTACATTGAGCAGAATCAGATACACATACTAGTGTCGGGAGTATCGAGCCTTACCCTCATGGCCAGTGGACTGGTGCTGTAATCCACAGGTTGGCACAGCAGACTGTAGTTTGAAAGCCATGATGTGACCAGAAACTGAAAACAGTAAATTGGAAGAAGTGATAGGAGAGCAGCTGATGCAACTTATTTATAAAGGAAATCATTTAATAGTCTGAAGAAGGGCATAAAATCAGTTCATTATAAGACACCATTGTTCATTGTTGACCTTTGTTACTAAGAGTATTGGTGAAATTTTACACAACTTAACCATGTATCTCCAACCTGACATCAGAAATAAAAAAAAAAGAATTCTGCCTGTACCTTAAATCTCTGATATAAGCGTGCAGATAGAAATATTCCTCTTCTAGCTGCTTTTGTTAAAGGTTTATGTAAACCATTGGTTAATAATACTTGGCTCAGGTGTTCTAATATGTTTTTTTTTTACTCTAGTTCTCTGATTGAGTTATATTACCTTATCGGGCCTTTTCAAACAATACCACACTAGAAAATAAGTAAACATTCGTACTAATATCATAAGCCATCAGTTAATATCCTCTGATTCCTCAATATTAAACCAAAAATAATTTAAAAAAACATATAAAATGTCTACTTAACATTACTTCATGGCAATTATCTTTAGTATCTTATTAGACTAACCTTTTGCTATTATGATCTGCAGCAAATAGGATTTCTACACCAAAAAGCTGTTAGCCCGTTATTATAGGACACAGGCCTACAGTTAAAGAGAAAATCCTTGACTTTGGCAAACCTCCTTCTTAAAAAAAAAGCAATCAACAAAGTTCAAACTGGGACAACATAATGGTCCCACTAGTATCTTTCAGGACTTCCTTGAAAACCCAAACATCAGAATACTTTGAGATATGTTGTGCATCATTATCTTTTTTGAACGTATAACAAGGCCAAACCTTTAGCTCTATCATAGACGTTTTTGTTCCAGATTTTCCCAATGCCACATCAAATCCATCTTTTTCTAAACATGCTGCTGTTTTTTTTCTGCCAGAGGACGTAGATTAGCTTGAAGACATACCACTAAGACACTTCCCAGATAAGCTCCAGTTTTAAGCCATCGCTTCAAAGAATAGAATCCAAAATCTCCTTTGGCTTATTTATTCAGTAGATGTAAAATGACCTTTCTTGTTCTTTGGTATTAAAGCAGTTTATGTGTCAGAGTTCAAACATGGAGCACTTCAGTGCTCAAACAAGTCTTGCTGTGGAAATTGAAACCTGACTTGCTGTGGATATGAATAGTCTTTTTGCACTCAGTGACAATACCACTGTTTTCAAACCTCAGGTGGTATAATAAGCTTTATTTCTTATTAGAAACTACAGTTGCTACTTTCTTCCATATAACTAAGGGTTTTCTGTGTGTTTTCCAACAGACAGTGACTGAATCAAGGGCTGCAAAGCTGCTAGACTTTAAACTTGCTAAGACAAAAAAGGTGAGAACCCAATGGTCAGTTCTCAACCTGATTTACCAAACAACTGATCAGTGAGCTCCAACCCTACTATGCCCCAGCCTCTTCTGGGATCAAGCCTGAGTATACATTGTAAATTAGATGAATAGAAATTTGAATACATGTGTGTTTGAGACATTAAATTCAGGGTAGATTTGATGTCATAAAGGGGAATTTGAAATCATCCATTCTATTGCAGGAGGTACTAGTCTTCAAAACTGTGTAAGTTCATCGTGAGATCAAACTGAACATGATTAGAGAAATCTCTTAAAAAACCTAACATTTTATATTGGCTCATACAGCCGACTCTTGCCACTTCAAATGTAGAATCAGAAAGCCTCTATGTCAGCCATTGGGCTCTGCAGGGCGAGTCAGAGGCCACTCACACCTGCTATTGAGCATATGGAGAAACCTTGTTAAGCTATTATACACATGAATACTCAAGCATGTATATCACAGGGGTTTGGTTCCAGGTGTCCACAGATACACACTAATATTATATAATGACCTAAGGATGGATATATATATATATATATATATATATATATATATATATATATATATATATATATATATATATATATATAGGAGCTTCACTTTAACCATGCCAGCTTCTCATCATAATTCAGAAGGTAACTAAAGAAAATGTTTTGTGACTTAAAGGAAGTTCTTCTCCAGAGGAGAAAACATATGAGATTAGATATTAATGTGTGACCTTTTCATAACAACAAAGAAAAAACAAACAATTTAAAGGGATATACAGATTTTTTCTTGACTGTATTCACCACTTTACAAGCTAATTCCCTAAATCATACAAAACTTTAATTTACTAATTCAAGTTTAATCTAATTTAATAGAATGGAATGCAGATAACTTTTAAAATTTGATTGGATTCATGTTTTAACCTCTGCCTTTTTCTTAAATGGTTAGATTTGTTCTATAACAACAGTAAGGAGACACACCTCATAGAACATGTATGCAGACAAGCCAACCATGGCAAAGTTATAAACTATGAGAACCACTTTGAGATCAACAGGTTGCTGGTGTTTCATCAGACGTGGACCGGCCCAGACCACACAGAGGTAACCCAGGAAAATGATTGACACTGGGACAGGGGAGTAAACCAGCAGCCAGGGGTCCGTCCTTTTGTCTGGAAAACGATAAAGCTACAAATCAGCACCATCAGCACATTTGTTCTCTTGTGCACAGTTTGATTAAAAAGTAAGAAAACACAGTCAAACTATGTCTTAACATTTGCTTAGGGTTTTTTTTTTTTTTTTTTTTTATGCAGGAATGCATCAAATAAAAAAAAACTATAAAAGTGTCCAGAGATAAGTGAGCTCATAAATGTGACCCTCAGGAAGACTCTGAGCATGCCTTTATAATATAGAGTTGTAGAGATTTTTCAGGGCCGAGTTGGTAAATATTTAAAAAGTAATAGACTCCAATAAAACCTAAAGCTTTAAACTGAATCAGAAAAAAAATCCAGAAAGCTTTAGTTTAAGAAAGTTTGTGTATTTGTTCCCTTTTTTCGGTTATCTGTTACACATAACAGGATATCTGTTATGTGCAACAGAGGTTTTGAAATGATTTGCTAATAAACAAACAACTATTTTATCAGGGTTGTATGTGGTGGGAAAAATCTATTCCTACATTATAAAGCCTAAAAACCTGCTTGTTTTGTTTTATATATTGAATTCAATTCAATTCAGTTTATTTATATAGCGCCAATTCACAACACATGTCATCTCAAGGCACTTTACAGTTCACCAGATCATACAGTCAAATGAATTCAAACTTTTCTGTCTAAGGAAAACCAGTTGATTGCATTGACTCATTGACTCAAATGCAATCTCTCACACTAGGCATGCTTGTAGCAACAGTGGAGAGGAAAAACTCCCTTTTAACAGGAAGAAACCTCCAGAATAACCAGGCTCGGGGTGAGCGGCCATCTGCCGAGACCGACTGGGGTTCAAATATTGCTCAAAAACATTTCACTCAGGCTACACTCCTGCTTGACTATGCATGGGGATTATTTTATTCATCATCCCTGTGTTCATACCAAACTGTCTGTAGTTCTGAAGCTCTGTGTGAAAACAGTTACAGTTTTCTCTAGAATGTTAAATAGTGCAAGCCTTTGTCTAGCCAGAACAGACAGAACATTGTGAAAAACTGCATCTGTTTGCCCGGAATGAAGACCACAGATCTTGTCTTGTTGAATAAGCCTTTTAAACCAACATTGTACAATTTTCAGCATGTTTAAAAGTTACATTAAGGACAAAAAAACTAAACAGTGCAAATAATGGCTGTCTGTTTCTCACACTGCCATGGATCTACTCTGAAAAATGTTACTAACAAGATAATATGAGTGTCATGGAGGTAAATTATGTGGAAAGCCACAAAGCACTGTTGTTGAGTCAATCTGAAGAGCATATATGCAGCTCTCATTTAGATCTGGTCATCTTGACTCATTTCCTTTGCTGCATGACATGCATAAAAATGGAAAAGTTGCACCAAGATAAGTCACCCTACCTCCATTCTCCACTATCCGCTGGTGCACAGAGAGGACACTGTCCCATGCAGAAGCCATCTGAACACATAAAAACACAGATTAAAGGTGAGGGGAATACGAGCTCTGCGTTTACAACTGAAACATACATTGATCTCTGATCCTCACCTTGCAAACCCAGATCAGATCACTTCAGGTCCCTTTCGTAAGCCTGGTTCTCTCAGTAGGAGAACAACCCTTCTTCACTCCCTTCAAGGACCTTTGGACGCTGCCTGGATTTCGCGTGATCACCGGAAAAAAACACGACATCAGCTGAAGTCCCGTCTTGACAAAAAGGAAGCTTTTGATGTATTGAGTGGAAACACCACTTTAATGTTCGCCGAAGTAGTAAAAATCTCCTAAAGATGTACGTTCCAATGTAATTAGGAGATACTATCCATGACAACCTCACTTCCTGTGCTTCTCTTTCACATTCAACAGGCAGCGGGTAATTGCAGTCTTAGAACACTGGAGGGCGCTGTTTCCTCTAAATCAATATGCTACAATGGACGCAATAATTAGACCTCAATATCAGAAAATCAGACATTTATTTAATTAAATCATCCCCCCCAAGTATTGTGTGGACATGGCATCATTTAACTGATTGCCTCTACGTGAAGCTGTTTCAACTAAAAAATATAATTACATGTTTAAATATAAAGATTTTATGAAAACACCTGTCACAAAAGCACAGGTTGGATTTTATGGCTCATATCCTTCAAACAGATTTATATGAAGGAAAAAAAGTTGCTTCTATTCCATCCTGATACTTTGGGCTTTCTATAGACATTAAAATGGATCCAACTGAGACTTTGGTTAATTTAAATCAATGTAAACTTAATGAAAACCACCCACTGTTCTACAACTGTGTTTTTAATGGGATAGAGGCACACTGCCTGTGGTTTCACATTGTTGGGTGGGTGTGTCTCCTCTGGTTCATCATGTTTCATAGTTGTTGAGATTTGGCCAGGCCATTTCTCAATCACAGCGGTATAATAATTATTAAACCAGGAGCACTGAATTCTGACTTCATAAAAAACACTTGGCTGATGCCAGCGGTTAAACGACACCCTTAATCCCAACTGACTTACAGTGCCTTTGGCCTTTTCTGGGACCTTGACTTCCTAACGAAAGAGCAAGGCGACTTTGGACCACTGAGCATCTATGGGCCCAGATAAGGCTGAATTGATTTCCCTGATCCAAGCTGCTTAACGCAGTAAATAAGGCAGTTATAGCTCATGTCCTGGACACATAAAATATGTTATGGTTCTTGATCCTCTGACATGGCTCTGACTCTGGCACTAAAAACCTGCAGCATGTTGGTTGTGATCTGGCATTGGGAAAATCTAGAACAAAAATGTCTATGATAGAGCTAAAGGTTTGGCCTCTTTATACCTTCATAGAAGACAATCATGCACAACATATCTCTGACATAAAATGTGAGCTGACTCGGAGCTCCTCTGCCTGGATGTCTCTTTCCTGGACGGGCCACCTGTGGAGCTGGTTTACCGTTGCCTTTTCTATCTCTGCTTCTGTCTCCTTGAACCCCAGTCAGCCTCGGCAGATGGCCGCTCACAGTGAGCCTGGTTCTACTGGAGGTTTCTTCCTGTTAAAATTTAGTTTTTCCTCTCCACTGTCACTAAAAGCATGCTTGGTTGAGGGACTGCTGAAGAGTCAGTGAGTCAATGCAATCAGATGGTTTTCCTTAGATAGAAAACTTTAAACCAATCTGACTGTATGATCTGGTTGAATTGTCTCTGTAGTGCCTTGAGATGGTGTGTTGTGAATTGGTGCTATTGAAATGTCAAAGCTTTGTGACTTTCCCTCAAACTTTTTAATAGGGTTTGCTTACAATCCTTGACATAGCTTACTTCTTTCACTGGTGTTAGAAAACACAAAAATGTTCCTGTACTTTGACATAAAATCTATAGGTGCATCTCACATATTAATGGTTTTGTATAGAATCACTCCATCTTCACAAAGCTTCTATTACCCATGTTGCTTGTGAAAAGCTTTTCCTTCTGCAATGATTGCCAGGTCTCATTTGAAAGCCAGATTTTAATGTCACCAGTAACTTTCCTGGGGTTTGATATCAGATGAAACTATTATTGAGAAATCAACGATCCACAAACACTGTGGACGTCAGACATGTTGCATACATAAACAAACGGTCAATTATCTCTGGGCAGCATGTAGATGTGGATAAACCTTGGAGTCTGTGCTATTTCATCGTCTGCCAGATAACTTAGTGACGCTGGGTCTTCTGAACACTATGAAATAAATAGATATATTTTGAAGATGGGTAACTAGAGGTCTTAATTTCAGCTGGGAAATTCTTATTTCTCACCACCTGGATAATTATCATTGATGATTAGTTTATTATACCCTTATATTACCTGCCTGTTGCATGTCAGAACTGATGTTTTCCCCATTAGTTTATTTAATTAGGACAGTTCCTTTGTCTGGATATACAGTCATCTTCATTCTGTACATGGCAATTATTTGGGGATGGAATGAGAGCGGTGTCCTTCATCTAAGAACAAAGTGTAATATTTTGATAAGGCTGGAGCCATGGAGGTCTCCTCATCCGCAAACATCTATGATGTTGCGTACTGGGGTTTTATAAAATGCTTCTTTAACTGTGAATCATGGCCACTTCACAAGATGTGAGCCCAGTTGGTAAGCAGCTGGCTTCTGTGACCCTAAGAAACTAGATAGATTATACAATTACAATTTCTATCAAAATCTCTTCTCATGTCTCAGGGTTATTAACTACATATAAATTATTATGCATTATTTAAAGATTTTGTCCAAANTTCTCATGTCTCAGGGTTATTAACTACATATAAATTATTATGCATTATTTAAAGATTTTGTCCAAAGCAATCTTTTTCAGCAAAAACAACCAGAGAAAGTTTCAAGCTATAGCCATCTTAGCATAATAAAAACCGATTTATGCAGGAACATTATTTACATATAAACTGTTTTTAAACTTGCTTTGGAAAACATTGTTTCAGTAAATGAAAATACAACCAACACTAAATATATTGTATTGCAAGTAAAAAAACTTGGGTGGAAATCACAATTAAGTTTGTCATTTAGACTTAATCACTAACTTCTTGAGTAAATGTCACCAAAGTCATCAATGCAAATTTTAATAGGAGTTCTTCTAAATATTTCCACTTCTGACCAAAATCTGTTGGCATATTCCTTGAAATCCATCCAAATTTACACAGTCTTATAATAAACGGGCCGTATTCATTTGTATTCGTTGTATCTACCAAATGAATTTACTACAATGCATAAAAGGGTATCTTTGAGAGGTTAACAATGACAATAGGTGTTTTTCCCGGCACATGCCTGCAATTTAATCCTCAACACTTTTTATTATAATGACGATTAGATTTCAAATTTATAATAAAAACATGAAATAATCTACATATAGTCCTATATGAATATACAGAGGGTATAAAAAATGCCACTTGATTAAAAATCTCTAGTTTTAAAGAAACTCCACATATAACATGATGGACAGCCGTAGGGACTCTAGCTGTCTTCTTCTTCTTCTTCTTTTTTTACAGGTTTAAAAAAGGAACTCAGAGATCGCTGTCTGCCTCCATCAGCTGCAGTCATTTTACTCTTCTTTGTTCTCTGTGACCTCTTGCCATCTTTTAGACCTTCAGGCTTTTGTCTTTTTCCATCCTAAGGAAGACAAGCAGAGACATATGATACATGTAACCGAGAGTATGATAATTATCAGATATTTGCTTCACACAAAGAGATCTGGGTAGGCTATTAAAAGGGTAACTATTTAAGCAACTTACCTTTGAGTTTTTGTCCTTCAAACTGTTCACAGAATGAAAGAGCTTCAGGATCTGCAGAAAGGTGGAAACATTACCAGGCATATGGTAAGCATAGAACACACACTACAATAATAAGCATCAAAAGGTCCTTTTATTAATCAGCACATTTTGATATCCTGATGAAAAATGCAAA